GTATATGCTTCGATGCTGAACTACTGAGGTGTCCGTCTGCCCATCATCTGACGTCTTAATCGCAAAGGGTAAAATAAAAAGTCAAATACAAAATGTCTCTGTACCAGGTTAAAATTCTGGTGTTGATTTACACCTGAAGTCTGACCAGTGTCTGTTAAAATGATATAAAACAGTCTGGTATTTTAAATAAAACAGTTACCATAAAAAATCCTACAAATGAAATCCCAGAAACATTCTGTTATTCTCTTATAGCAACAGACACATTGTTCTTCACAATTATGAGGAAAGTGTTGTGTTGTTCTAACAATGTTCAAGTTACAACATGTGTGTTTTTATCTTTTATTTTTAGAGAACCATCTGACACGGCACATAAAGGTTAAAAAAGTCCTGTGGGATAGGTTAACTGAAACACTGGGCTAATATTAGCAATCTTTTGTCATTTGCTTTGTGTTTGTACAAAACATATTGAAAGAGTAATTCTCCTGCCTTATAAGCGCTTTGCTTTTTACGCCCTAATTCGTAGTGACTAACTGTATAACACCATGCTGCCCTGCGTGAAGTTCTCCCTTTCACAGCTGTGGTTTTGGTCTTCAGTTGCATGGGCCATATCAGCCAGGCCACATCTATTCTGCTCTTTCACTGTGAATAAAAATAGGGCCGACAAACTGACATGAATTCTCGAAAAACCTCATTGTCTCAGTTTGATGCAGCACAAAAAGAAAATTCCATATTAAAGTCAGCATGTAACACAATTCTGGAATAAGAAAAATTTGAAAAAGGGTATGGTCAGTGTCTTAAATACCCTTTTGGAGTGATTGTTTAAACGCTCGTAAGCAGCCAGTTTGATTTTCTTCCATGTAACTTTTTTTATACTATGGTTCCTGCTTTTAGCTTGCCTAACACCACTTACACAACACGTCCTCCTGTCTGACAGCTGCAGTAAAGCTTCTGAAAACCTTTACCACAGAAGCACGTGTGTAAAAATAAGTCAAAAATAGACAATTAGAAAAATGGATAAAAAGTTAATTATATTTTCCTTGTACATTTTCCAACCAACAACAACTGATACAGCATATGTAACACGTATTAACCAATAAAACCAACTGAGAATAGCAACATACAAGAGTGTGAGATTTGATAGCATTTAACATCTCCACTCGTTTTTGAAGAGTGTCAAAAACTAAATGGCAGGAAGTAAAGAGCTAAAATGCATTGATAGAATGTCTTTGAATATGTAAAACTTAAACAAGGATTTGTTAACACTAAGAGTAAATTAGGAATTAAAGCACATTAGAAACCTGTTCAAAATAAAAAATCCCACATTATCACATGTGGATTAAAATATAAACATGAAAGTGTGTTGATAAAATAAGCTTAACTTTTTATCTATATATGAAGCAGAAATAAACAATGAAAGTTAGAGCAAGAGCTCAAAAGCTACAGATTTTTACTTTCTTTTTAAAGATGGTTGTTTTGACGGTAAAGTTTAAATTTGTTTTTCTCTTATTAGTTTCAGTTTGAACCGGAACTTTAAAATTTTTCATTTTAATCCTTTAAATAATAGTAGTTGTACATGTTATTCCCTTTTTTCCACCAGTATGTACGACTCCTTTTGATTTTGTTTTTAAAATTTGGGTCTACATTTCTATAAATAATGCACTGCTTCAGAGAATCGGCTGAATATTTGCATATGCCGTAAAAAAAGACATTTCCCTTTCACTGTCAGGCACTAAATTAGGCTGTATGCTTTCTGTAAATGTTAAAATGATGAAAAACATTTATTTTAGACCTTTTTTTTCACTTAGTTTACATATATTGAAGTATAATTCACATATCAGCTTCCGAAGTAAAAGGCAAAGATGCTGACTAGTAGCAGCATGTCATTATCTAGTATCAGCATGTCATTATATGGCAACAGCATGTCATCATCTAGAGTAAAACAAATCAATTACTGCCATGGGTTGAAAGACCAAAACCAAGCAAAACCAAGATTACAGGTACAATGCAAACAATAGATCACATTGCGAAGGAACTACATTATGTAAAAAATGTTTACAAATTCTTAAACACTATCAGTTTCATTGTTCTGGCATTAAGAAAATACAAGCTACTTTGGTAATCTTAAACGACTTACATTTGGAATATGTATCTAAATTTAGATTCAGTGTCTGACAGTGGGAAAAAAGGAATGCATTTTGTGTGAATGTCTGATTTTAAACATCTGTTTTGCCATTCTTAGCAGTGTTTTTAGTTTAGGGTTTTGTTCTTATACTCAGTTCCTGTCTTTGTCATCAGATGTCCTCAGTAAGATTTTTCATGTTTCATGTTGCAAGTTGATCATTATTACTAATTTTTCACCTGTGTTTATTCTCTAAAGAGGTTATTTGCACTTCTTCTTCTCCTGGTTGCTTTGCATTAAATAAAGCACAAGACACACTAGTGTGAAAACTGTAGTAGTTTATGCATCAGACAGAAACAACAGGGAAGCAATAAGTGATTTACAAACAGCAGCCCTGACTCACTCATAAGATATTTTATGGTGATGATAGAATTTTAGGATTTACCTTTTTGATCAGAAATGACTTCACTTTGAAGTAAAGGCATATATTGACAGTGCTATATACTCCATAGAATCAAGTAAAAATTCCAATATTCAGCTTCAAGCTAATCAATAATTTATAGACACTAGAAAAGCACTCATGATCATATCATGCAAATGGCCCCTGAACTAAAAGATAGAAGAGGCTTCATTAACCGGAAACTAACTGAAACCGTCCAAACAACGGAAGCTGGCACTTCAGTCATGCATGAGGTCTTTAATGAAACAAGATTCATATAAAAGAAACAAAATCTATAAACTTTCTCCTGTTTTTCCCCAACGGGAAATGGTAATTCAAAGATTTTTATTTAAATACAATCACCACAGAATATATCTTAGTCAATTAGGGAATCTCAAGCCTGTAAGCATATCAGACAAAAACGATTCAAATTTAATTTGATGCATCTATAGGTAACTTGAGATAGTAGAAAAAATAATTTTAAAACATATGTAAGCTTAAATAATCAATAGTTGAGTTCAGCAGTCTTACCTCGCACTAGCCATCCCCGTTATGGGCAAAATGTAAATGAAGAGACACAAATAGTTGAGGCCTAACTCTTAGAGGAAGTATGATTCATCACGTGGTTTTTTTAAACCAGCCATCTCTCAAACTGCTGCAACCTCCCCATTTCCTGCAAACAGAAAAACATTTAACCTCAGTCTCCAGAGACTCAAACTGAATTGTTTCCCTGCTTTTATGTGAGCTGATTGATCATCCGCTGCAGGCTGCATCAGCTTTATTTACTATACACACAAATTTCAATAAAGGCAGCAATGGAATTATTTCTAAATTGTTTGCAGATTTCATTGTGTATTTCCTCATCTCTGCAGGAAATACCCAACCTAACTTTGCCTCTTGAGAAATTGTAGATTTGTTGAATCTCAGTTGAATTCTATTGCCTTCCAACAGAACTGTTCAAAATAAATTGGAGATTAAATGGTATTACATTGCCCTCTGGTGGATATGTCTAGAAAGAAATCCCCTTTAAAATGACATTGGGGAATTTCAACAGCCTTTCTTTTAACAGGAAATGAAGTGTATGTGCTGTAATGGTTTTTTAAACTTTGCCAGTCACACTCTCCAGGCTCCATACAACCAGCAGTATTGTTTAGAAATTTTAGCAACCAAATAAAAGCTGCTCTGATAAAGTAATTTAGCTAACACCTATTTACCATGGCTTTCACATTAACAACCAAAGAAAACAACAGTGTTCTATGCAACTTAGAATAGAATAGAATAGAATAGAAAATCCCATTATTGTCCCACAATGGGGAAATACTGGTGTTTACAGCAGCAAAAAGATTATAGAAAAAATTGTCACACATTGGAACTTAGAAAAGTGTATAAGACTAACATAATAGTGAACAGTTAAAAAAATAAACAAATGAAATAATGTACTGTAAAGTGTTTTAACAATATAAATACCATGAACCTGGAAAATAAATAACTAATATACAGCTATGGACATGTTTACTGTAATGGATATTTGAAAGTAGTAACTTCAAGTGAAGTCTGTGAAGTTCCATAGCTCCTGTCAAGGTCTCTTCACTGTTTTCTTTTAAATACTATTAAAAAGCACAAATTCTATTGACTTTTTGAGAAAACCAATATATTAAAGCAGCAATTGAAATCCTTTGGTAAACGGAAAGCCTCTGAGCTAATGTCAGCCTCTGAGGTAATGTCGGCATACTAACTTTTACTCTGTAGGAAATTATGAATGTAAAATGTGGAAGAAAAAAGCAATTTCAGAAAGAAAAAAAAACGGAGATCAAGGGGGAAAGTGATAATTTAATAATAATAATACAAATAATTTAACTAATTTGCATTAGAAGCTATATTTTATTATGTCGAACTCCAGAGTGGTAAAAGACAGTAGTGAAAGAAAGCCTGTGTTTTACTAAGTACTACAGGAAAGTTTTTTTGTACAGCACTTACTCCAATGCAGATTTACTGGTTTTTGAAATATATGGAAGACATTCCTGGAAACATCAATGAAACTGAGGGAGATGGAATAGGACACTTGATTGGCATTCTATTAAGAATATTTTAATACAGGAGATCATTTTAATTTTCAAAAAGATTCTTTAGCGATAATTTTATAAAGCCTTTAAATCCTACTGCAGAGCTGAGCTGTCCTTTGAAAGTCCTAAAAAATGCAACTGTATTTATAATTTTCCTTAGTCTCAGATGTATTGAAGAGCAGTTGGTAATAACCTCCTCTATTTAGCTTTAGATTTTATTACTGGTAGTGAAAAAGCCTTAATAATATTTTCTCTGTTGTACCTTAATAACTGAGGTAGCTAATATTTTTCTTCTTTCTCGTTTGAACCAGAAGAGTTTGGCTAACTACTAATTACAGAAGCAGAAAAAGCAACAGATGCTCAATGAATTTTTTAAACCTTTGCTTTTAATGTTGCAAAGAACAAATGGTAGTCTATAGAGCAGCAAACCGTAGGGTTGTCCTCCATAGATGGCAGGGTTCAAAGCAGGTGGAAACATTACAGAAAAAGCTCAGTGTCATAAAGTTCATTTCAAATTTCACTTTAATATACATAAATGCTTTTCCTTAAAGACTTAAGAAGAGCTAAAATGGATTGCTCCATGGCTCTATATCTTAGTCATCTAAATTTACAGTAACTTTAGTTAAGTCAAATTTTAACAGTGCTGAATTTGCTGCTAAAGCTAATACAGGTGGATTACACTTTAGAAACCATTGAAATCACCTCAAGTCTGCAGCTATTGGGCCACAATCAATATATAAATTATTAACTGCGATCATAAGTGCAGGAGGATGCAGTTTTGCTCTGCTCTTAGGCTCTCCTCTCCAAAACATTCTTCTCTCCCAGATATATCTTTTCACTTCCAAGACAATCCTTCAAGAACATGTGATGCCAGGCAAATCAAAAAGACCCCACGAATCAAGGCCATGCAGGCCACAGGAACCTGAATCTGCACACCAATTAAAGGCTAGGTGGACCTGCAGGCTAAGTATTGAACCAAATTGCTGGAACAATTGCAATATTTCTCTCTGAGTTTACAGGAAACTTTGAGATGCCAAAAATTGGAAGAGTTGAGCATCTGAAAACAAAGAAAACCTGCTTTAGGCCTGACATGTCAATCCAGATATTTGTGATAATGGTGCTTTAAAAAATACCAGCCAGGTGGTAAATGTTAATAAGAAGCAGATGTAAACATTACATCAGTTATACATTTAAAATATATCAATACATTCATTGGAGTGTAAAGTGAAAGATTACTAATGGCATTTAATAAAAGATTTATTACTTAAAAAATGTAAGTGTAAATTGTTGATACATTAATGCTGTCAGACATTATGTTTACAAGATGAACATTTAATATCAGTTTATTACTCTTGTAAAAAAGCTATTTAATAAACAGATTGGTCCCCAAAAAAGCCAACAACCATCAGTGAAAACGGGCCCACTAAAATAGCTTTTAGACATTTCAAATTACATTTCAAATTTGACACATTTCAAATTACATTTAATCAAATAGACAAGTATTTACATTTTTCAGGATAAGATGATACTCTCAAATTGTATGTTCACAAGATAAACATTGGATATGAGTTTATTAATGTTGTAAAAAAGCCAATTATTAAATTATTCCAAGCAAAATCCAACAACTATCAATGAAAATTAAGAGAACAGTTTTTAAACATAAAGTTAAGTGTTTACATTTCTGTATGCAAGTGTGGTTATGGTTAGAATTTCCTCTCCAACTCTATATTGTCAACATTCTTTTTTTTTAAACTTCTTTTGGTCAAAAAGAAGCCAATGGTCAAACAAATGGCCCCTATTGATAGAATGATGAGCAAAGCAAATGTAGCATTAAGTCCAGTTTCAGCTTCATCAGCAGAGAGCTTCATGCCCAGGAAGTTCACAGAACTGTCATTTAATGGAGCACTTGTTGCTAGAAAAGGGGAGAAAAAAAGATGATTAAAGGAATTCTTATAATTTCTCTATTTATGTAGAATAAATAAAGGATACCTGCACAGCTGACCAGAAACCTTATAATTTGCAATCGAAAAAAAATGTGAATTTAACTCCAAAAGTGTCTGGTTTGGATGAGCAGTTTATTTATACACTGGAAATATATATTTTTATTTGTCCCACCCAAAAAAGCATTATTTGTTACAAAACAAACAAACAAACAAAAAGTAACCATGGATCCGTACAGCAACTTAAAGTAAAAAAAAAGAAAAGAAAAGAAAAAAAAAAAAAAAGGGGTGGGGTGGGGTAAATAAAACAGTTTCTAGAGGATTTTATAAAAATTTCCTAAGATCGTCCAAAAATATATTCTTTGCTTGAAAACTCTTTTGGACAGGCTGTACAGAAACACAAATTTCACCCCCTTCGTCTTTGTGTCAGATAAAGTGATCACTGAACCACTGAATGAGAGTATACTGTAATTTTCGGACTATAAGCCACACCTGCATATAGGCCACAGAAGCTAAATTGCATGGTTTGTACATACACAAGCCACACTATAAGCCGCAGGTTTTTTATGTTTAATTACCATATGGTTCGTGCACAGACAGGATTGTCGGGAAGAGGCAACTGTTTGGGGAAGCTCCTATTTATTAACATTTCAACAAATTGAATTGAGACAATTCTTACTGCTGGCGTCTCCAACGTCTCACCATTGACTCAATGATTCCAAGGTTACATGCAGCGGTTCTATTTCCTTCGTTTACTGGCAAATTGACTGCCTTTAACTTAAAAGCTGCATCATATGCATTTCAACATTTGTTTTCCATAATGAGGGTGTCACACAAACTGTCTTGGGCTCGCAATGTCCGTATTTCTTGGAGTCTGCTTCTGGAGGATGTCCGCATTCCCGCACGCGCAGCTACTTGTGTGTTGAAGCAAATGTGACGTCAACATGGTGGATGGTAAAATCCATAGATTTAGGTACCGTATTACCCTAGTGGCCGTTAGCTGTAAAAGTCCATAGATACAGTAAGCCGCGTTGTTATATAAGCCGCAAGGTCGAAAAATGGTAAAAAAATGGGGGAAAAGTTGCGGCTTATAGTCCGAAAATTACGGTAATTAGGTAATATTACACAGCAAGCTGTTCTGTAATCATAATGTTTGCAATGTTATTGCAAGAAATTATCAAGCTATTGGTTTTTAGATACTTTTACCATGATTCTGCAATACAATGTATATGCTTAATAGAGTTTTATTTTTTATTCAAAACTTTGACTAAGAACTGGAACAGATAGATTTACTCATTTGGAATAAGGAGCATAACCCTTTTTACCTGTTAACATCTATGCCTATCTATCGTCTTCTACCCAGAGTATGAATGGAGCAGCAAGTTGGTATGGTAAATGGCCTGTACTTATATTGTGCTTTTTTTTTTCTGGTTGCAGGGCAAACTCCTTCATCTGACGCCGCTGTCCCCCATGTTATCTCCAAATAGGAGCAATCCAATGAATAGTATGTTAAAGTAAAGAAACTCCACTCTCATGAGAGAGGTGGAAAATGGTCTGCATCCAGATTTTGCTGCAGAAAAACTGCAAATAACAGCTCCATATAAACCTGCCTAAAACCATACCAAATCTGCCTAGTTTGAGTTTAAGTAGTTTGATTTTGACACAACACTTTTGTGATTACTAAGTCGCCAAAGTATTTTGAAAACATCTGATTACCTTCTTGTCCAGGCTTCAGACAGTCATGAGGTCCTAATGCAGGGTCGGGAAACCCGTTGCAGTTAATTATGGTGGCGTAGGAAGACACAGATTCTTTTGCCACTCGAGGCAGATTGGGATCAGAACGATTTACATAAAAAAGTCCAAATCTCTCTGAGAAGCCAGTGGCCCATTCCAGGTTATCCATGAGTGACCAAGCTGTGTAGCCCCGAATGTCCACCTTATCAAGTAGATAAGCTGTAAGAAAAAGATTTTTTTTTTTAAATATACAAACATTTTCTTTAACTTCAATTTAAATATAAGTTTTTTTTTAATTAACATGTTTTCTATCCATCCATCTATCTTCTTCTGGTTATACATGGCCGGGTCGCCTGGTAGCAGCTTCAATGGTGAGGCCCAAAAGTCCTTCCCAGCAACTTGGGCCAGCTGCTCCGGGGGAAACCCAAGGCGCTCCCAGGCCAGTTGAGAAACCTCAAGGGTGTCCTGGGTGTCCCCCTGGGCCTCCTCCCGGTGGGACGAGCCTGGAACACCTCACTAGGGAGACAGATGCCCGAGCCACCTCAACTGGCTCCTCTCGATGTGGAGGAGCAGTGGTTCTACTCTGAGTCCTCCCCAGATGACTGAGCTCCTCACCCTATCACTAGGAGAAAGCCCAGACTACGGGGAAAACTCATTTCAGCCACTTGTATCCGGGATCTCATTCATTCATACTACAGATGAGAGTAGGAATGTAGATCAACCGGTAAATCAAGAGCATTGTTTTTTGGCTCAGCTCTCTCTACACCACAACAGGCTGGTACAGCGTACACTTCACAGCAGACGCCGCACCAATGCCACTCCATCTTTCCCTCATTCGTGAAGAATACCCCAAGATACTTAAACCCCTCCACTAAGGGCAGTACATCCTTCCCAACCTGGAGAAGGCACTCTACCCTTTCACTTTCTCAGCTTTCTTTTGTCAAGAAATAACATGTTTTATTAAATCAATATTTTTATAATCCTTTCATTATTTTACTCATCATTTATAATTTGGTATATTCAGATAATTTGCTTAAATACCTTTCAATACTTGGTTGATATATTTGTCATAGAAGTAACTCCTGTGAGAATCTTTAAGATCCACCTCCCCCTTTTCTGAGACACCATTCTCAGTGATAATAATGGTAGGATTTCCGTATTCCTCCTTAATAAAATTCAATATTCTGCGCATTCCAAATGGTGTGACCTTCAGCCAGCCAGAACCAGAGTCTAGCCAACTATGATCAGAAAGTGTGCCTGCACCCCTGTGGATAGTTCAGAGTTTAGATTTTGACTTAAATGAATGTACATTTATTACAAAAATAAAATTGCTTATCAAAACTTTAAATGTATTTCATGTGAAAGTTCTTACTCACCTGTCTGCATCATAATGTTGAAGGTTTCCATACTCTACAGGGAATGCCATGACAGTGGTGTAATGGTTAAATCCAAAATAGTCATGTGTCCCCTTAATTCTCTTTATTTCTTCTGGTGTAAACTCAGGCAACCTAAAAATTTAAAGTAGAATTTAACTAAAGCGGGAAATAGTTAATCTCTAGTTTTAGGTTCAGCTTAAACCCAAAAATGGGAAAGAACTTAATGGGAAAGTTGGGAATCCCTATACGGATACAAAGCAAACCAGTTTGTATATGCAGGCCCTTGAACAAATTCAATAAAGGTATGGTAACAACTAAACCCGAAGTGTCCATTAAAGAATGGATATAACTAACAGAGCTTATAATGGTAGAGGTTTTTTGGTACCGTGATTTAGCCAAGCCAGCAGCAAGACTGCGTTCCCGAATGATTGTCTTCATCATTTCACTGTAGTCACCATTAAATATGGGATGGGCAAACCAGCCAATATAGAACTGCATAGAGAGACACTAGTTAATGCCTCAGAATAGAACCTTTTTTTTTTTTTTTTAAACATCACAGAGCTTGACTCACCTGTATTACACGCCTTGCAGCATCAATATCCTCTTGTTTATAGGGGTTCCTTGGCTCTGACCAGTCAGAGTTAATAGTAATGGATATCTTTCCATTTTGTGTAGCCCGATATTTGTCATTGTATAGATGCCACACTTCGGCATGAGCTTTGATAAGATTGTGACCAACAATGTAAGGAAGAGTACCAGGACGGAAACTAATACCTGAAAACACAATCCATGTTAGAAATGGTTATGGTACATGCCCTTAATTTGTTTTTTTCAGCATCACACATCGATAACACAAAGCTGAATCTCTATGATGACCTTATTTTTTGGAGGTGATTAGGGGGTTCAGAGCTGACATAAAAGGCTACAAGCAAAGCATACCTGGGGCAGCTACTCCATATCCATGGCCAACCATTGCTATATTATATGGCTCATTGATGGTAATCCAAAGTTTCACCCTGTCACCAAGACGACTGAAGATAATGTCAGCATAATCCCTAAATCTTTCAACAATTGTATCATTTTCCCAGCCTCCAGCGTTCTGCAGGGCTTGTGGAAGATCCCAGTGGTACAAAGTAATCTGAAGAAAAAGAAATATACAGTTTACTTTTTCAGTCTTAAGAATTTTTGTTTATGAAAAATAAATGTTGAATTGCTAAAACAAGTTAAACTCACATGAGGTTTGATGTTTGCATTAAGTAGTGCATTCACCAGTCTGTCATAGTAGCTAAATCCAGCCTCATTAATATAATTTGTAGTGCCATCAGGAAGTATCCGTGCCCAAGAAATGGAGAACCGATAATGGTTTACCCTAAGTTGCTTCAGTATTGTAATGTCTTCATCTATTTTATTGTAACTGTCACATGCGATGTCTCCATTGTCATCATCAAAAACTCTGAGAGGAGTGTGGGCAAACTTATCCCAAATACTGAGTCCTTTTCCATCAGCTCTCCAACCCCCCTCAATCTGAAAGTAGTAATGGTAACAGTAATACAGGGAATTTTCTTAACAGTAGTCCTCAAGGCACACTGCCCTATATTTCCCTGCTTAAGCAAACCTGATTTCAATTGATGACAGATTACCAGGTTTATGCTGAGCTGCAATTATCTGTTCAGGTGTGTTAAAGCAGGGAAATGTCTAACCAAGCAGGACAGCATACCTTTAGGACTAGGGTTGAAAAATAAAGGACTAAGCTTAAAATACAATATACAGTTGCAGAACAGATCAATTGTGGCTACTTCACCTGGTAAGACGCAGTCGCAGTACTCCAGAGAAAGGGTTGGGGGAATTCTCCGAACAACATTTTCTCATCATCTGGCATGGTGAAACCATTGTTTTTCATGACTTGGAAGTAGAAATGAGCTGAAAACTTGGGTGTTCTTGGTCTATTTTCATTAGTGAAGTCCACATGGTAGAGCCCAAAACCAACTGTATTGCCATTTAACCACTCAAAAGAGTCCATGAGGGAGGCTGCTGTGTAGCCTTTTACCCTTACTCCATCAAGTTCATTGGCTGTTTATTATGAGAAATACAAATATAAATCAAACATCAAGAATTCAATCCCATAAGGTGTGCAATATCTAGCCAAAAGCATTTTATTTTACCTTTAAAAGCCTCGTTGATATATGTCTTGTAAAAATACACTCTATCATAATCATTCCATGCAGTTTTTGACTTTGTAGCAACACCATTCTCAGTTATGTATATCTCTGGGTTTCCATACTCTTCTTTGATCCAGTTGAGGACTCTTCTTAAACCCCAAGATACAGCTCTTTGGTTTTTTATGTCTGTAGGTTTTGAATCTTTTACCTCTTCTTTTGTAAAGTCCCAGTCATTTTCATAGGAGTCTGGGGTAATTGGACCTGTAATATGGGTAACTATTCTGGTAGTGTAGTGATTAACACAAAACATGTCTGCAGTTCCTTTAATAAAGTTCTTCTCCTCCTCTGTGAAAAAAGGAAGTCTTGACTCTGACAGACCCTGGAGTTCGCTTTTCACTAAAACTTGAGCTTTCATGGCTTCTGGATAGTCACCATTTTTGAAAATTGGGTGGGCAAACCAGCCCAACTGGAACTGCATTGCCCGGTCAGCAGCAGCAATTTCACGAGGGACATTGATATCTTTAGGTTCAACCCATTCTGCATTGAGGGCAATTGATACTACTCCCTTTTGTGAAGAACGGTGTTTTTCATCGTATGTGTGGTATGCTGTGGCATGAGCTTTTATCAGGTTGTGTGCAACTTGGTATGGTGCTGTTCCTGGCTTCACAATGTTTGGGGGGATTTTTCCAGAACCATATCCTAGCCATGCAATCCCTTGAGGATCATTCATTGTCATCCAGAATTTCACTCTATCACCAAAGGTGGTGAAGCAAAAGTCACAATAATCATTAAAGATATTAATCATCTCCTCGTTCTCCCATCCACCCTCATCTTGTAAAGCTTGTGGGAGGTCCCAGTGATAAATTGTGACCATTGGGGTGATTTTAAGAGCCAAGAGGCCATCAATAAGTCTGTTATAATAGTCAACACCCTTCTGGTTCACGGATGCACGCCTACCATTGGGAAAGATTCTGGACCATGACAAAGAAAGTCTGTATGATTTTACATTCATAGCTCGCAGCATGTATAGGTCTTCATCAAGTCTGTCATAACTGTCACATGCTTTGTTACCATTTGCATTGTCAGGAATACCACTACCTGGCTTTTGAGTAAATGTATCCCATACACTAGGGCCTTTGCCATCAACATTCCATCCACCCTCAATTTGGTATGCAGAAGATGAAACACCCCAGTAAAAGTTTTCTGGGAAAGTGCCATAGTGATACATTTGTCTATCAATTTTTTTCTGTGGTGTAAATTTTTCCCAGACAATCTTTGATGTCGATGGAACTTCTGAAGGAGGCAGTGGAGTAGAACGGTAGGCTTGTGGTATTTTCAAGCCTTCAAAATTAGGTTGTTCACGTGCAACAAAACCATTTTGTTCAATGATCTGAGCATAGAAGTATGCTGATTGTTTTGGTGATCTCGGCCTGTAACTATCTTCAAAGTTAACATGGAGAAGTCCAAATCTTTCACTGTACCCTTGTTTTCCCTCAAATCCATCCATGAGCGATTGCACTGTGAATCGCTGTACATCCACTCCATCTTCTGTAATTGCTGTAAAATATCAGCAGAAAACACATAGCACATTTATATATCTTTTAAATCTGCTGAAAAGATGCCACACATTGCGACAAAAACAATGACACTAACCTTTTAGGGCTTCATTGATGTAACCACTCAAGTACTCTATTCTACTGGTGTCATTGAGGGGGTCTCCACTGTATTCTGTTGGCATGCCATTCCCAGTTATGTAAATGGGCACATTATGAGATGTCAGATATTGATTTTTAATGTATGTTAAAAGTGATCGTAATCCTGATGGCAATGAGACGATCCAGTCAGATGCTGTAGTGGGCCATGAGGGGTCTACGTATGCCTGGAAGTCTCCAACTCCCTGAGGACCAGGGACGCATCCACCTACGCTGCTGTTAACCAAACGTGAAGTGTAGTGGTTTAAACCGAAAAAGTCAGAGGTTCCCTTTATCCTCGCCTTCTCTTCAGCAGTAAAAGTTGGAAGTACTGCTGGCACAGATCCAGCACACTCACTTCTTTTCTTTTCAATCTGAGTTTTAAGAACTTGAGAATAATCCCCATCTATGAATATGGGATGGGCAAACCAGCCTAGCATAAACTCAAGGTAGCGCTCTGCAGCTGCCACGTCTTCAGGTTTTGTGGGGTCACCTGGTCTAGCCCAGTCTGAGTTTAATGCATTGCCCACTTTCCCTCCCTGTGTTCCTCTGTATTTGTCATTGTAGACATGCCAGGCTTCTGCATGGGATTTTAGTATATTATGAGTAACCTGGAACAGTAAGACAAAATAAAGTGGTATTAGGTAATATTCATTTCATTCAAAGCTTAAAAATGTTGTATTATATTGTTACATCTAGATTTACCTGATAAGAGGCATTAACATAGTCTTTAACTCCAGGAGCATGCTCACCAGTGCCATACCCTGCATGGCTGACCACCCAGGGGCTGCTGAATGTGTTCCAGTCCTTGACCCTGTCTCCAAATCGGCTGAAGCAGAAGTCAGCATAGTCCTTAAAAGCTTCAACAATGGAATCTGTGGTCCATCCTCCCTTGTCTTGCATAGCTTGAGGAAGATCCCAATGGTAGAGAGTGGCAACAGGCCGAATGCCAGACTCCACAAGAGCGTTGATCAAATTGTTATAGTAGAGAACCCCTTCATTTGACTCGCTGGCTCTATAACCAGAGGGAAAAACACGGGCCCATGATATAGAAAATTGGTAGGTGTTGACTCCAAGGCCTCGCAGGAGGAAGACATCTATATCGACCTTGTTGTAACTGTCACAAGCGAGGTCAGCAGTCTGATTTTCATATGCTTGGCCTTCATGACCAAAACGATCCCAGATGGTCTCTCCTTTCCCCCCTTCTAACCAGCCTCCTTCAACTTTGAAAGATTCTGATGATGTGGCCCATTGAAAGTCTGGAGGAAATGCTTTAGTGGGCAACAGACCTTTATCATCACGAGTGTTGTTCCCAAATGTTCCCAAACTGGACCTGCTGATGAAATCCTTGTTAATAACAAACTTTGAGCAACAATGATAAAAGCTGAGCAAATTCTAAGAGAAAACACATATGGCAAACTATTTAAAACAATGTGTCTCACCTAACTGGAACATCTTGTATGTCAAGCTTGTTTAACACTTCATTCGTGTCCAATCCAACAAAATCCACGCTATTGCTAGATAAAACTGCCACAGGATGGAAAAGCAAGAGAACAGATTTCATTTTTGACTGAAAGAGGAATAGTACAGCCCTCCTTTTGAATGAAAAATGTAAGAATAATCATTATGAAGTTCACCAATGTGTTATTTATACAACATTAGCCTAAGCTTTAAAATACAATACTTTCACATTGATTTTTATCTATTCAGCTTTGATCATACAGTACTCCAGCTGTAAATACTGTTTAACAATTATAAACATGCAGCTCAAAGGTCTGTCTCCACTTTGCATGTTGCTTTTCCTGAAGATATTATCCGACTGATAAAAAGACTGATTAGTGGTTTACCGATTAGTGCTATAATATAATGAGTAGGGATATAAAGGGCCACTCCTTTAAAGTCATAAATTTTAATTGTACTGTGAAACATTATTGGAGAGATTTAGAAGTCATTATGCTTGCTTTATGGAAGAGTTGCCATTTTCTTTCAAATATCACATGAATAAATGTTAGAAAAATCCTTTTTATTTTCATCAAATAACCGTTTGGAATCTATAATAATATTGCACTATTTGTACTGTTTTGAAAAAACAATGCTTAAAGTATTCTACAGTAGTTCTTGGATTTCTCATCTCATTGATTTTGAAACAACAAAAAATGTGTGTTTGCTACAATGACACATACCTTGTAAAAAATCCCCAAGAAGCTGGTGTTCACTCAAGATGCAGTCATGAACTGTCAGTTTATAGAGTAAGATTGGCAAATTCCCACTGGATATCTAGAACACAGCATTGTGTTATAACAAAGAAACTCAAGAGTGAAAGAATACTTTTTGTTCTTAAAACACTAAAAGTTGTGAGTACCTGCAAGTTTCTCAGCTGTTGTCCAAAGGTTTCTGAGGAGGCACAGTTATATTCCAAGTTCACTGACAAGAAATCCACCTACAGTAAGGAAAACATGAGATAACCGTCTGTGAAGTGTCTTGTGATTCTTAGAGAAATGTACTTTTTGAAAAACCACTATGGCTTATTCTGTAACCATAACAGATGTAAAAATTGAATATAAATAAATTTTCCTTCTAACGCAAAACTCTGTGGGCACATCAAAGTTGAATCTTCACAAGGAACAGTTCTTCACAATTGGGGACAATTCCCACTAATAGTTATTTATTCAATTTGCTTCCTTTCTTTCAGTGTTAATTTTACCAAAAAAACAATATCATTTGGTAATTGCTATGGGCTTAAGTCACTTTAGGTCTGCTTTTTTGTTACCAACAATTAAATCCACATGATATGTTAGGAGTTTGTTGTTGTTGTTTTTTTATCTGTTAATGTTTTGCATAGCAAGTCTAAAGGTCAACACATCCTTCCAGTGTTGTACCACTTCCATTTTGTCCTTTCCTACTTTCATATCTCATCTGTACACAAACAATGTTGTACCCATGTACTTAAACTGTGGCCGAGCAGTCAATTTCTCTCTGGTTCCATGTATTTACAAAAAAAAGGAGATAAATTGTCATAAAAGTTCTCCAGTCTCACATGCAATTTAATTAAGTTTTATGTTGTACCTAAAACTTAATTTATGTTCTATTTCTGTTTGTTTGGCAATCTCAATGGCCTGTATTCACAAAGACTCTCTGACCACTACAGGGAGGAGATCATCAACACTCATGTAACACCCATCGAAATTACAACGAACGGACCTGGGGTCTATTTAACAAAACAGGTTTTACAAACTCAGACTCAAAACCTCATCTCTGATTTGATCTAGGGTTGGAAACTTGAGTTTTCAGCTTCAAAAAAGCTGCTGTGAGTTAGTTTAATCAACTCTAAGTAGGTCCACTCAGAGTTGAGCATGCGCGTAAAATGTATGAAAACCCATTATTACTGGATCCCCAATTCAACGAGACTTTGAGAGATTCGAAGTGCCAATTTCACCCCAGTGGAACTAGAGATTTTACTGAGAAAAATAAAGAAATAAATGGAGTAAGTGTTTAAAATACAGAAAAACAGCACTACAACTGCAAAAGAGAGGAGAATGGCAAAGGAGAAGATTGCTGCTCAAGCTAAGGCATAAGTTTATATGTAGTCTGTTATAGTAGACCATTTTTACGTTTATTAAAAGCATTTTTCTTTCTGTTGTTCCACTTGTAATATTGTATAAATGAATTTCAGAAAGTGGAAAAACAACATTGTACCAGTGAGAATGAAGTTTTACATAGCCAGAAATGTTTACACATTTAAAGTGACCATTTTGACATTTATCAGCTTAGAGTGAATATGTACAGTATTTATGTATCTGAGATACATTCCTTGATCGAATAATACAAATGCTGAACAGTAATAATAGGACTATGGAGATCTGAAATTCCTTTCTAGACATCCAAAATGCTTATTTTAGGTGTAAAGAATGTAATTTTGTTTGAAATGGTAATTTTGACATGAGAGCTATTTATTTTCAGATATCAGAAATATATGTTCAAACAAGTTCATATGAAAACAGCCTGCCATAGTTAGCTGTAACCACGATAACACTAGTTTATTGCTTGAATTGTAGAGGATCAATGTATCTATTTAGTTGAAAATTCAGGTGAAATCATCTGTCTGCATGTGAAAGTAAAATATAAACAGGTTGCTCTAACAGGTGGGACCTGTTCATCACCACATTGGGTTCCTCCTCATTTTGATTCTGTCTTCCATCACACAGTAAATACTGAGTGTTTCCAGCTGCTTCGAATGTTATCATCCCATTAAATGGCCATTATTAGCGGTTATCAGTCAGATAGAATGTGTTAAGATTGTGCCTCCTACCTACCAGTAGGCTCAGTAGGTTATCAAGGAATGAATCCTAATCCTAACCCTGAAATAATTAATTTTTCTATTTTTTTTAATTAATCTATTTATGTGTAATCTGAAAATAATTTCAGTAGTTCATGTATTGTAAAAAAAAAAAAATAAGGAAATAAAACAAAAAGATCTGCATGTTGCTCATATCAAACAAACCAAATACAAATAAATCTTGTATCCTGTCAAATGAGTTCTCTGTGAATTAATGCTAGCCATTCTTCAATAGGATCCGCATAAAATGACATGCAATGTTTGTTTTCAAAACCTAATATCTGTGACGGACCTTTTGTATGATTTTTATTTCTAATTGTTTGCATGAAACTACAAGAAACATCTCCTGACTAAATCTGGAAATAAAACAACAAGGAGAGCGGAGACAGAGGAAACTACGGCAACAGAAATAGAGGTTGAGTAAACTCTCTTTGTAAAATGGAAAACTCAGTTTCTGTCATGATGGGTCAGAGAGGCCCAAGGATGCAGAACACCACGGAGGCAGAAACAGGGGTAAAAGTTATAACAGAGTTTATTGAAGATTGTCACAAATATAATGACTGGTACTGGATCACTTCTGGGGCTCTGGTACTCAGGTAACTGGAAGGGAGACAGTTCAGTTAGCCACGTAGCTGAAGAGTGTTGGGATGTAATTGTTCAGAGATCTACCTTGTAGAATCCGGGTTTGGTCTTTGAGAGAGGCACTGTTGGGTCCAGAGACTGTTTGGATCGACAGAGTTCGGTTTACAGCTTCAGCGTCTTGCATCTAGTCTAGGACAGACCTTGGTTCTCCAGCTCTTAGCCAGAGCTGCGTTGATATCCAGGAGGAGTCTTCAGGTTTGGCTCAGAGGGCAGTTAAGACAGGTTAAGCTCATCCAGAGCTTACAGGACAAAAACAGGTTTCCTGTAGGCAGAGACAAAAAGGGGAATTAGAATCCACTAGGAGACAAGAAGCAATCAAAGTAATCACAGAGGTAGAGAGGCTCAGGTGCTAACCAAACTGGATAAACACTGCGGCGTTGATGCAAGGTCTGAGAGCAGCTTATATAGTGGAGGATCCTCCTGATGACGAGATGGGCTTCAGGTGTGTCGAAGGCTCAGCTCAGGAGGATCCACAGCGAACTCTGCTGGAGACAGGTGGTACAGCTCCAGATCCCAACAGTACCCCCCCCTCAACGACCGCCTCTTAGCGGTCGAGAAGATGTCGATGGAAGGGATCGCTTGTACTCCTCGATGAGGGACGGGTCGAGAATGTAGGAACCAGGAACCCACTGGCGATCCTCCGGACCGTAGCCCTCCCAGTCGACGAGGTACTGCCATCCACGACCTCGCCGACGGGAGTCCACGATCCGAAGGACGGTGAAAGCCGGATGTCCATCGACTTCCAGGGCGGGTGGAGGGGAGTCGGACGGAGGGCACAAGGGGCTGTAGATCACAGGCTTGATCTGAGAGACTTGGAATGTCGGATGAATACGGAGAGTCGGAGGGAGTTGTAGTCGGACGGCTGATGGGTTAATGACTTGGGAAATCCTGTAGGGTCCAATGAATCTGGGAGAGAGCTTGCGGGACATCCCCTTGAGGGGAATGTCCCGAGTAGAGAGCCATACCTCCTGACCGACGGAGTAAGCTGGAGCAGGGCGTCTTCTAGAGTCGGCAAAATGTTTTGTGGTCTCCATGGTACGGTTGAGGGTGGCTATGGTGTCTCTCCAGATGCGATGACTGCGGCGGATGTGGTGGTTGACTGACTTGACCGAAATCTCTCTCTCGTCTGCGGGAAAAAGTGGAGGTTGATAACCGAGACTGACCTGGAATGGAGATTGGCCGGTGGAAGCTGATTTCAGGGAGTTGTGAGCGTATTCTATCCAAGGGAGGTGTTGGCTCCAGTCGGTGGGATGACTGGAGGTTAGACAGCGAAGGGAGGATTCGAGCTGTTGATTCATACGCTCTGTCTGACCATTGGACTGGGGGTGGTAACCTGAGGTGAGAGATGGCTTGCAGTTGAGAGCAGAACAGAAGGCTTTCCATACCTGGGAGATGAATTGTGGACCACGATCGGAAAGGATCTCTTGGGGGATACCATGTAAGCGGAAGACATGTTTGATTAGAAGCTGGGCGGTCTGAAAAGCTGTGGGAAGCTTCCTAAGGGGAACAAGATGGCAGGACTTGGAAAAACGGTCAACGATCGTGAGAATAGTGGACATACCTCGAGACACAGGGAGACCAGTGACAAAGTCAATTGCGATATGGGACCAGGGACGAGATGGTATAGGAAGTGGATGCAACCAAGGAGGTTGGTGTGTGGATTTGTTTCTGGCGCAGGTAGGACAGGCCAACACATATTCCTTAACGTCCCTGTGAAGGGTGGGCCACCAGAAACACCTAGAGATGAGGTTGATGGTTCTGCTCACCCCTGGATGAGCGGCAAACTTGGCATTGTGCATCCACTGAATGAGACGAGACCTGACGGATGAAGGAACATAAGACTTGTTAGGTGGACCGTTACCTGGGTCAGGTTCAGAGGCCAGAGCAGAGTTTATTAGATCGGTAATCTCCCAGGTAACCACCCCAATGGTGCAGGAAGCGGGTAGAACAGGTTCAGGCATCTCGGATTGATCGGAGGAGTATAGACGAGAGAGAGAATTGGGTTTGATGTTTTTTGATCCTGGTCTGTAAGAGATGATGAGGTTAAATCTGGAGAAGAAAAGTGACCACCTTGACTGCCGAGGGTTGACCTGTTTGGCGGATTGGATATAAGCGAGGTTCTTATGATCAGTCCAAACGAGAACCGGGTGTTCCGCCCCCTCCAGCCAGTGTCTCCACTCCTCCAAAGCCAATTTTATGGCTAGTAGTTCACGGTCACCAACGTCGTAATTCTGTTCGGCAGAAGAGAGTCTACGGGAGAAAAAGGCACATGGGTGAACTTTTTGATCAGAATCCAGTCTTTGGGATAGAACGGCACCAACTCCTGAGTCGGAAGCGTCGACTTCAAGGATGAACTGCTTTGTAGGATCAGGCTGGATTAATACTGGAGCTCTGGAAAACAACATCTTCAATTTTTCAAAAGCGGATTGTGCCTCAGGGGACCATTGAAAAGTTCTCTTGAC